CCCCCCCCATTCACTCAGTACCAAAGGATCTTTAGAAACTTATTCCTTTCTCTCATTCCTGAGTCCAGTACGTTGATCATTAGGCCAAGAGCACCATCTTTCTGAAGAACAAAATATTTTGTCCCTAAAGTACAATTAATTGAAACAAGTGTGATTTTAAGTGATTTTGTTTCCCTTGGGCTCAGAATTTGTGATAGAAAGAGCTGAAGAAAATGGAGGAAGAATTGCATTTAGAAATTATGCATCACTTGAGGAAACATTTGCCAGAAAGGTTGGTCTATCATCAAAAACATTTGTTATTTAATATATCCTATGAATTTTGTTTAGAAGAAAATTTTATGTTAGTAGACATCACATGTATTGCTGCTTTTTTCGTTGGTTCACCTCACCAGGAACTACATCCACTTGATCTGAAAATGGGAGTTACAGCTTTTTTGAATGAGGTATGTATATACTCCTTCCCTTTGCGTGGATATTAGTTGTACAAGGTTGGTGAATTATTTAAACAAATTCTACTACATGTTGTTATCTTTGTTGGGCATTGTGGCTCATTTTGTGGGCTAAAATGGAGATTTCTGAGGCCAAAAATTGAGATTTCCATGGGCTAAAATGTATTTTAATACAGTTTATGTTCTTGGGCTTAAATATGTTTTGGACCCTTCTCAGAGTCATTGTAACTCTTATGTTGCTCAGGCTCAGGCTGAAATGACTGAGTCTGCTCAAGTAAGTAAGTATGCCCTTGAAAATTAACTCAACTAATGTGTTATTATATAAGTTTACATATCAGGAACCCAATCACTGCTTTAACTCAGGAAAGAGCTGTACCAATATTATGTTTCCCAACTATTTGTTCACCAATCATTAATGTCTGTTTCCTTCTAAAGCTTCTTGATCCCATAAGAAAGAAGTTCCAAACTCCTGAACTACAGAAGCTGATGAAACAAGCATACCCTGCTCCAAAGAAAGCAAGTAAGTGAACAGGGTTCATTAAGAGTATACTTGTGCCTCACATACTCTGCTGCTATCATTTCTCTGGGTGTTTTTCATGACTAGGGGTACCACTGTATCTTCACCTGGATAATCACAACACAGTCAACTGTTACTCTGTGCAAGAATAGTACTGTCTTCAGTTTACTTACTAGTCTACTTTGTAGCTGTTGAAGCACAGTGCCAACTAAAATGAAAGTAACTAGTCAGTATTTATAACATTTCTTTGTTATTTCTTGAATTTCAGAGGGTGGAAAAGGTGGAGCAAATGCCACTCCTGAGAGAGCTGTTGATCCTTCAAGGTTGGATTTAAGAATTGGAAAAATTTTGTCAGCAAAGAAAGTGAGCGCATTGAGTTTTCATTTCATTTTATTATTCCCTTTGTGATATTGTTTGAAATCAAGGGAACCTTGTTCAGAACAATGTTTTCAGCTTTCCTTGTGAGGTTAAAACCTTTTGCTCCTAGGAGAAGTTTACTATATTGCTCTCTGAGATGGAAATTCTGTCATTTTTTTACTTCCTTTCATTACAGCATCCTGATGCAGATTCCCTGTACTTAGAAGAAATTGACATTGGAGAAGAAAGTATGTGATGAGATCAGCTTTACAGAGTTTTTTTTTCCTTCCTCAGCCTATCGCTCCTTGTTTTTGTTAACTCTTTAATCCTTGAGAGTAGTAAGCATCTAGTTTCTCCCAACAGTTTCACCCCTTAATCAAACATTAAGTTCATGAAATAAAGAAAATAATTGCAAGGCCAAGAAGCTCTTGAGGGGAGCAGGGATGGCACAGTGGCGAGAGCACTCACCTTCCTCCGCTGTGGCCCAGGCAGGACCCAACGTCACATTTGAGTTGAGTTTGTTGTTGGTTCTCGTCCTTGCTCCGAGGGTTTTTTCTCAGGGTTTCCAGTTTTCCTCTCTCTGCAAAAAACCAATGTCCAAAATTCCAATTCGACCTGGAGAAGGTGGATAAGAAGAGCCACCTCATGGATTGTCCGCTGCTAAATAATTATCATCATCGTTATTATCATTAATAGTATCATTATTATTATTATTATTATTATTATTATTATTATATCTATTTCTACTTTTATTAAGCAAATTCTCCTTGTAAGTACAATAGGAAATGCATAAAGAACAGTACGGAGAACCTGCAAACTGATCCTAGGGTGTGGAGGCGAAGGCAGTCATGTTGTGCCCAATGCTCTGTACCGTCACGAGTACTCTCAGGATTTTATTTAGGTATGAATGCTATATTTTGGTTATTTTTTTTCCAGAGCCTAGAACTGTTGTAAGTGGTTTGGCAGAGTATGTTCCATTGGAGGAACTTCAAGACAGACTTGTTGTATTGATGTGCAACTTAAAACCTGTTAACATGAGAGGTGCGTTTTTTTCTTAATTGTGGAAAATTTGATGCCTGGACAAGCAGTTTTCACCTGCACCTTTTGTCTCTGAGTGAGCAAGAATACATTTTCATTTTACGTTGTGGATTTCTTATGTCAGGCGTCACGTCAGAAGCGATGCTCATGGCGGCATCTGTAACAGGGTAAGTTTATGCTTGTTATTTTGTAAGTTGAAACCGACTGTGATTTAAAAAACTATTTTAGAAAATAGCGTAGCAGAGAAGCCTGTTTCGATGAAACTATTTTAATTGTAGGAAGGTTTTTGTCGTATTATTGCAAGGTACAGCTAACTTGAAATGATAGTAATATCTGGACGTAAGTTTATTGGAAGTGAGAAGATTGATTTCGGCAAATCTTTACTCTTAGTAATCTCAGTAAAGGGGTGAAAATAGTAGCTAAGAATGGGTTTGGCGAGGG